TCATTTTCTTCTTGGATTTATTCTAAATGTTCAACTCACCGAGAGTTCTGTGCCTCAAAGGTTGAGAGAGAATCTTCGGAATGTACCTAACGTGATTTTTCGAAGCATATTTTTCAACTCCTTTCTGTCCCATATAACCTTGTTGTGGAGTTCGATATCTTAGTACTGTCATTCAAATCTTCCACAATTCGCTCTACTTTATCCTTGGAATTAGGAATGTAGAAGTTTTTGTGATAATCTGAGGATTCGAAGTCGTAAAAGCTAAAGTTGTTCAGGTATTCGGAAATTCTATAATGATAATTCTCGATAAAATACTAATAGAGAGAATTCGTTATTTTTTGGAGAGATCTTTCGAAATAACTTTGTAACCAAGTTGTCAACACAGACCGACAAAATTTAAAAAAAAGGCGAAACCCTGAGACTAAGTTAAACGTTTCTAAAGCATAGAGTTGTGCTGACTAAGACCTCAGACTTTTTCTGAAATCCTATTAGAATGTGTGACAGTCTTAAATATTTTACAACTTTTAATAAAAACATTTATTCTCGACATTTGAAAAGCTGTGTTAAACCAAAATACACAATTTTTAAGGTCTTCAGGCAGTGGCGATAAAAACAAAATCAAATTTCCAATCACTTAAAAGGTGTTTACTTTTCTAATCTCCATAATTTAAATCAAAATAAAACAGTTTCTAAATCTTTAGTTATGAAACTAGAAACTAATTAATTTTTTCGTGATTTGCCTGAAAATCTTATTGGAAAAAAAAAATAATTTAAACAAAATAAATTTATTTATAATGGAGAAGAAAAAAATTATCAATTGCTAGTGATTTATAAATACATATATACATATTAACTTATATAATAACATTATATTTAAATAATTATTTAATAAAAAAAAAACACAAAAAACCCATTTAAATAATAACAAATTATATATATTTACAAACATCTAATATAAATAATAAAAACAAGAAAACAAAGAACATGAAATGAAAAAGGACTTCAAATTTATTATTTCTATGAATAAAACATATGTATTATAATTTTCTAAATTCCTTTTTATATAAATAAAAAATTATTTAAATTTTTAATTTTCTCAATTTGGTAACATAACGAAATCCCTTGCATCATACAACACACCAGCCGACATTATTAATAAAATACAACAGAAAGCAAAACAAACTATAATAAAACCAAATAATTGTAATAGAATTAATTAATTTAATGACAAACGAAAGAAAATAAAATAAAAACAAAAGAAATAGTAAAATTGTTTAATACAAAACACATGCAACAATTACATAACTTATATACATTACAAAACATTTTATGTCGTCCCAATGAGAACAAAAAAAAATAAAGAACAAAAGTTGAAAGAGAGAAAATAAAACCAAAAAAAAAAACTTTTAAATAAAAAATCAATAATCAAAAACTTATATTTGTTTTATTACAAAGTTTAGGTTAAAAACGGATACCGAATAATAAAGGCAAAGTAGTTAGTATTTCAATATAACAATGGAAAGCTTATGTTTTAACAATAGCGTATGAGTAGTATTATTTCTAAATAATATTAATTATACGTATGTTGTCATTTATGCGCATGGAAAATTTAGTACTTTTTGATATCGAAAAATATCGCGCACCCCCACGACATTTTCGGTACTTTTTCTAACTTGTAAACTTTATATAAGTAGTCTATAGTTTAGTCTATTCTATATAGTAGTCTAGTCTATATTCTATAGTTTAATAGTGAAGTATAGTATATAGTGAAGTCTATAGTCCAGTCTATAATCTAGTCTAGAGTATAGTGTAGTCTTTAGGTTAGTCTGCAGTCTAGTCCATAGTCTAGTTTATAGTCTAGTCTATAGTCCATTCTATAGTGTAGTCCATAGTGTTGTGTATAGTCTTGTATATAGTCTAGTCTATAGTCTAGTCAATACTCTTGTGTATATTCAAGTCTATAATGAAGTATGTAGTCCAGTGTGTAATCTATAGTCTAGTCTATAGTTAAATCTGTAGTCTAATCTATGGTCTAGTCTATAACGTAGTCTTTAGTTTAGTCTATAGTTTGGTCTGCAGTCTAGTCTATAGTCTAGTATATAGTCTAGCCTATAGTCTAGTATATAGTCTAGTCTATAGTCTAGTCTATAGTCTAGTCTATAGTCTAGTCTATAGTCTAGTCTATAGTCTAGTCTATAGTCTAGTCTATAGTCTAGTCTATAGTCTAGTCTATAGTCTAGTCTATAGTCTAGTCTATAGTCTAGTCTATAGTCTAGTCTATAGTCTAGTCTAGTCTATAGCCTAGTCTATAGTCTAGTCGAGTCTAGTCTATAGTCTAGTCTAGTCTATAGTTTAGTCTATAGTCTAGTCTATAGTTTAGTCTATAGTCTAGTCTATAGTGTAGTCTTTATTTTAGTCTATAGTCTAGTCTAGTTTGTAGTCTACTCTATTGTTTGGTATGTTGTCTTGTCTGTAGTCTAGTCTATAGAGTAGCGGAAAGTTAGTTTAGTACCTTGAAATCCAAAAAGTACCCGCTGAAGAAGGTAAAAGTACCAAGAAGTTAATGTTATAGGTACTCAGAAACTCTGGGCTCTCGATGCTTAATTTCATTTTTCTATATTCAATATTATAGAAAATTCAAAAACTTCCAGTTAAAGAACAAAAAAGTACAAAAAATAGTCCTTTGTATTTGATTTATATGTGGATTCCAGCCAGCAATTGTAATTTCATTAATTTTTTCCAAAAGTTAGTTTCCGTCCATTTTTCGAAATATTCACCTCATATATATGTATGTAAGTATGTAGGGTGGGTTCAATTATAGACCGATTCTTATGAAATTTGGTAGAGTGATTTTATTTACAATAAAACTAGTTCATAGCTAAACCGTCATTTTTAAGCTAGAAACCAATTTTTTAAGTTGGGATCAATTATAAGTCAATTATGGATCGATCCTTATAAAATTTTGTAAAGAGATTTCGATTAATGTAAAACGTATTCTGTAGAGTTTGTGGTTCCTATAACACAAATTATTGTCGATTTCAACGCTATACTGGTATTTCTATATAAGATGTCAATGTGGGAAGGAAAAGAGTCTCGAGTGTTTTCTCTACTGGTGATGACAGAGAGATCGGCCTGTCTCTCATTTTTACCTGGTTTTAGCAGTGGGATCACTCTAGCTATTTTCCAGCAATCGGTAATAAACTGGTACTTGACTGATAGGTTTAACAGTAACCTCTTAAACTCTACTCTCGGCTCGCCAAGGTCTGCATTCTTAATGACTTCATGACAACAGGTTATGTATTTTGCGGTCAATACTTCGGTTTTGCTTTATCTCTCAGGCTACTTAACAAATAATCGGCAAAATGCCTGCGCACACTGTTTAGAGTCCAAAACAGAGGTCTTAGCAAACTGAATCTCGAACCTCTCATCCTTGTTCGTGGGATTGGTGATATCTGACAGTAGACCAGAACTTACCTACTCCAGCCTAAACGTTGTACTCCTTCAACTGCCCCATCCATAGTTTCAGCTTGCCCTCATTAACTAACATGTTGACACGCTCATCTGCCGCTTCGGCTGGATATTATGGTCGGATAACTGTGATACGGAATAAAACGCAGATCTTCCCTAATGTTTGAGTGCCTGAGTTCGTGATGCGCATTAAAGTCACTCAAGACTAGACGGGTATTGCAGTTGAACTTCAGGATGTTGTATGTTTTAGGTCTACCGAACGCTATTTGTGGTATCAGCTGTGGTCCCTAATGATGTTGATTTGCATACTGTTGTTGTTGCGTTGGAGTGGGTTTTCGTACGTAGCTGATGACGACGACGAAGACGGACTTTGTTGATATTGGCAGCAGGGTGGAACAAAGTTTACCGACCATTCCCTTTCATTGTTTAAACCAGAGCAGGCCCTTAAATGACACCATTACAAAGAAAAATTGCACTTTAATTGAGTGTTTTGTTCAATATACGGAGCAGCATTGCCGGAAGATGAGGCCCCGAAACTAAAAATTTTAATTGTGGCAAATGGGTTAGAGTCCTTGACCGAGTAAGATCGGCCAAGGGCTGTAAGCCGGCGTAGAACCGGCTGCCTCACTAGTTGCCGTTGTTTTTGATTTTAACGTTTGCTAATAAATACTACACTTTTATTTATATATATATTTCGTACCAAAATTTTTCCTTTTGGTTACATAAATCTCATGAAGAGTCTCAAGAAACTATTTTTCTCTGTCCTATATTGAAAAGAATAATCAAGATAGTTCCGGTGCTTTTTTTTGTAATTTTTTTATTTATATAATTTTAAATTATACAAGTATGAATATAATATATAATATAATAATTATGTACACTATATAAACTAAATACAACAGGGTATTTTCTTATTTTTTTTTTTGCTTCATCGACATGTTAAAGCTCTAAAAGATCAATTTTATACGATTTTCTTTAATGTTTTTTTTTTTAATTAAATTGATGAAATAATGAGCATTTGTTATATAAATTAAAATAATTTGATTTGTTTTATGGAACTTTATGATTGTGATGTTTAAGTTTTGTTTTTTTTGTTGTTGCTAGAAAATAGTAATAGAATAGTTACAAAAAGGGGAATTTTATTAAAAAGCATTAATAAAAAATGTATTTTTTTAACAGGGTGTAGTAGAGAGTAAAATGAAATAAATGTAGAGAACTAAATTTAAATCACAATTTTAATAAAATTTGCTTTAATGAATTTAATAAAGAGCGAATTAAGTTTTTGTTTTGTTGTTGGTTTAGTTTTTCTTTTTTTAAGTTCTTGTTTTATTTTATAACCTTTTTTTTTTAGAACAAAGACAGTCTTGTTTTTTACATAATTTATAACTTTTATGTTAAATAGAGATAAATTTTAATGTTTTTTCTTTAATTTATATATAAATATTCTTATTAGTTTTGTCTTTTTGTATCGATCATTTGGTTTTGAATATACTATATGCAATTTCAAAATTTTATGCATTCTTTAGTTGCTAATATAAATCTAAATTTTTGTTTTGTTTTAACATTTTTTAATGGTTTGTTTTGTTTTAACTTTTCTTACTTTGTTTTTTGGCCAACAATGAGATTTTATAAAAAGAGCAATGTTTATGGAAAGTATTAGTGGTACAACAGTTGGTAATGATCAATATTAGTTTCTAAATAATTTAACAGTTTTATAAAATCTTATTAATTAAGCTTTTTATAAGCTAAAGTTACTATTTTATGCCAACTGCTGCGAGTTTAAAGAAACGCATGAGAAATTAAAGAAAACACACAAAAAATAATAATACAAACAAATTAGTAGTAAACATGTAGAAAAAAATCATTAAACCTAAAGATTAATGTATAATTTACAATAATAATAATAATAATAATAATAAAAAATAATAAAAAATTATTTTAAAATAACAAACAAAAAATATTCAAATAGTTATCAAACACACTTAATACCACACATTATCTTATTGTATAATGTGTTTTTATTTTAAATTAATTTCCAATACTCCATACTCTTACTCATTTGTTTTCTTTTAAATATATAAAAAAAATATTATGCAAAAGAATTGTTCAACAATTGTGTTTTGTGTGTGTGTTAGAAAATGTCTAATTAATTCATTGTATTATAACGCAAATTGCTATCGATGCCACCAACCCCAGGACTCTCAGGTTCAGGCCCTAAATCAGAATTAGATCGTGTAAACTGTCGTCTTGTGGGTAAAACATCACGTATACTTTCGATTAAACGTTGATGGAATGTCTTGTACTCCATATCGACAGATTGAGTTTCACCAAAGTTAAAATCGGCCACCTCAACATTAAAACTAAAATGAAAAAGATAAATCAATTATTAATTTGAAAGTCATTTTTTAATATTTTAATTTTAAAATTAGAATTATTTTACTAAGATTTTCTTTGTTTATTTTGTAATTAATATAACCAAACAGAATTACTTACCGATTACGGCTTTGCAAGTAATAAGAGACACCAAATACAACTAAAATTATAGCAACTAAAGTGCAGGAAACAGGCACCACAACGACCGAAAGCTGAGATTGCCGTTTTGCTAAAAATAAAACAATAATACAATTCAGTAACGCAATAAATTACTAAGGAAATTAGTTCTTTAATAAATATGAACAGAATCAAGTTGTTACTGGAAAAATCAGCGTCCGAAGCATTACCCAGTAAAACGGTGTTATTAACAGGTATCTAAGAATATGCTTAAAAATTGTCTATAGTTCGGTCACATTTTAACCCATCGAAGAAGCTGACCTACAGCTTTTTGAAGCAATTATCAGTGAGCAACCTAGTTCTATTCTCAAGGCTCCTTCTGTCACCTGTCGGAAAGATCCTTAAGTTATATATATTTATCAACTTACCCTCATAAATATTAATTGTAACTTGATTAACCATCTCTGAGACATCATTGCGTATAAAGAACAATACGGTTTTACTCTCTGCGAAATAACGAGAATAATTAAATTCACATTCATCAACATCGTAATAATACGAACAGCTTTCGTTGCCAGTTGCATTATAAGGAGCTAAATGTAAAAAAGGAGTAAATTCAGTAAGAAATTTTAAATAAAATCCTTTTATGAAATTATATCTAACTTTTAATTTTAAATATTTTGAGTTAAAATATTGAGAAATTTTTTGTTTCACTAACCATTATAAACCAAAGAACAATATTTGATTTTAGCTGAACCTTTGCACTTTATATTTAAACTAAGAATATCACCATGTTGCAGCCAGTTTTTGCCATCAGCAGTGAAATTGGTGATGGGAGCTGAAATAACCAGAAGAAAATAAGAATTATTATCCACAATAAAGAAAGATAGAATAAGATAAAAATTATAAATAAGATAGAAAATCGAAATTTTGTATTGTATTAAAAAATTCTTTCTCAATTATAACAAAATTATTACTTTTTTTGGAGTTTAAAGTACTAAACTAATTTTCCGCTAGACTATAGACTAGATTTTAGACTAGACTATTGACTAGACTGTAGACCAGACTATAGACTACACCATAGACTAGACTATAGACTAGACCATAGACTAGACCATAGACTAGACTATAGACTAGACTATAGACTAGACTATAGACTAGACTATAGATTAGACCATAGACTAGACTATAGACTAGACTATAGACTAGACTATAGACTAGACTATAGACTAGACTATAGACTAGACTATAGACTAGACTATAGACTAGACTATAGACTAGACTATAGACTAGACTATAGACTAGACTATAGACTAGACTATAGACTAGACTATAGACTAGACTATAGACTAGACTATAGACTAGACTATAGACTAGACTATAGACTAGACTATAGACTAGACTATAGACTAGACTATAGACTAGACTATAGACTAGACTATAGACTAGACTATAGACTAGACTATAGACTAGACTATAGACTAGACTATAGACTAGACTATAGACTAGACTATAGACTAGACTATAGACTAGACTATAGACTAGACTATAGACTAGACTATAGACTAGACTATAGACTAGACTATAGACTAGACTATAGACTAGACTATAGACTAGACTATAGACTAGACTATAGACTAGACTATAGACTAGACTATAGACTAGACTATAGACTAGACTATAGACTAGACTATAGACTAGACTATAGACTAGACTATAGACTAGACTATAGACTAGACTATAGACTAGACTATAGACTAGACTATAGACTAGACTATAGACTAGACTATAGACTAGACTATAGACTAGACTATAGACTAGACTATAGACTAGACTATAGACTAGACTATAGACTAGACTATAGACTAGACTATAGACTAGACTATAGACTAGACTATAGACTAGACTATAGACTAGACTTTAGACTAGACTATAGACTAGACTATAGACTAGACTATAGACTAGACTATAGACTAGACTATAGACTAGACTATAGACTAGACTATAGACTAGACTATAGACTAGACTATAGACTAGACTATAGACTAGACTATAGACTAGACTATAGACTAGACTATAGACTAGACTATAGACTAGACTATAGACTAGACTATAGACTAGACTATAGACTAGACTATAGACTAGACTATAGACTAGACTATAGACTAGACTATAGACTAGACTATAGACTAGACTATAGACTAGACTATAGACTAGACTATAGACTAGACTATAGACTAGACTATAGACTAGACTATAGACTAGACTATAGACTAGACTATAGACTAGACTATAGACTAGACTATAGACTAGACTATAGACTAGACTATAGACTAGACTATAGACTAGACTATAGACTAGACTATAGACTAGACTATAGACTAGACTATAGACTAGACTATAGACTAGACTATAGACTAGACTATAGACTAGACTATAGACTAGACTATAGACTAGACTATAGACTAGACTATAGACTAGACTATAGACTAGACTATAGACTAGACTATAGACTAGACTATAGACTAGACTATAGACTAGACTATAGACTAGACTATAGACTAGACTATAGACTAGACTATAGACTAGACTATAGACTAGACTATAGACTAGACTATAGACTAGACTATAGACTAGACTAATAGACTATAGACTCGACTATAGACTAGACATAGACTAGACTATAGACTACTATAGACTAGACTATAGACTAGACTATAGACTAGACTATAGACTAGACTATAGACTAGACTATAGACTAGACTATAGACTAGACTATAGACTAGACTATAACTAGACTATAGACTAGACTATAGACTAGACTATAGACTAGACTATAGACTAGACTATAGACTAGACTATAGACTAGACTATAGACTAGACTATAGACTAGACTATAGACTAGACTATAGACTAGACTATAGACTAAACTGAAAGGTACTGAATTTTCTATGCTTAATAAGAATACTTACATTTCGACACAATCAATCTTTTATAATAGCCATACACTTTCATGGGATCTCTGGCTATAACCGATTTATTAACACAATTGAAGGGTGGTTGGTTGTCAAAGAGTGTAGCCGTAGCTGGTAATAGATTGTAGTGTTTAACATTAGAACTTAATTTTGGATTAACCAATACGGATGAGATATTTAAAGCTGACGAATTGTTATTTTTATTTTGTTGTTGTAAAGCAGCTGTAAGATTAAGTCCTAATAGAGCTGCATTGGCATGAGCCATTTCAGCAATTTCTTTATCGGCTGCCAAAGTGTCACGTTTTGTTCTGGTGGCTGGTTTTGGCGTAGTGGAAGTTGTGGTGCTACTAGTTGTTGTAGTTGTCGGTGTAGTAGTTTTAGGTGTTGTTGTGGTAGTGGTTGTAGTCGTTGTAGTTGTTGTCGTGGTGGTTGTAGTTGTAGTAGTGGTTGTTACCGGATCTGGTAACTTTTCAAATGAAGCCACTACTAAGGCTTCGATTTCATAGACCTGCTCTGGTTCACTGTATAATGCCTGGTAATTAAGACCATCTGTCACACCCAGATATGTACAGTTTTGGAACCAATATGTTTGTATATAAGTGGCATTTTCCATTAGATAATTTCTTTCTTCTTCGGGCAAATCGATGGAATGATTTACAATTGTCTTGGTGGAAACATATTCTTTTTGACGTACATTACCATCTTGTATAAGTTGCATTTGACCACCCAAAGTATCGGACACTTCAATAATCACCGAACTTGTGGCGATTTTTATCCAAATTATATAATCTTTTTCAACAGTTACTTGAACTCTATATTGACCATATTTTGTTTTATTTTTGGGATATGCTATGGACCAGGTGTTAATGGGCTTGGTTGAAGAGAAAACCTAAAAAAGAAATAAATTTTAAATTAATAACAATTTGTGAAAATTTACAAGTTTAAAGATATTTATTGCAAAAATGGCAAAAGTTTAAATATGCTCCACTTCGAAATCTACTTTAATGCATCGTATTAAATTTTAAGTAAAGATTCGTTTCATCCCTCTTTTACAATAAATAATATTGTTCAAAGATGGGCCCAAATCCTAATTTTTAACTATAATAATTTCAAACATAAGAAAATGACTATAATTTATGAAAAGAAATAAAAACTACTCATTCTAAAGTGCAAAAAATAATCAAAATGCATTTTAAAATAAATTAATTTGCATTTGAATGAATAATAAAGTGATAACAAAAAGTAGAAATGTTAAATGTTAGAAATGTTAATAAATTAAAATAAATGCTATTTTAAGAATTAAATTACAATTGCTTTCTATCAAATGGTCGGCTTAGTCTGACATATTCAAGTAAATACGCCTTATATAAGAGATAGTTAAAAGAGTTGATTGGTGGCATGTAATCATAGCAAGAATTATTAAAAATAACTGCATGGATCGATACACAATAAGATCCTTAACCCCTCAAGAGCCCAAATATCTCAATACCTGGCCACCATAGTTGAATCTTTTCAGGAAAGTAAAGTTATAGTTTTCAACTTCAAAATCAAGAGTGTCTCTTTTCATATAATGGACTAAAGAAGTAAGGATCGAACTCAAGATTTTGGTCGAAGACTGATATATCAGCATGGTTCAGAACCCAAGTATTTTTGGGAAACACTTTGACTTCACTTCTCTTCGAAATACACCAGCGAAGTCTGCACTTTTCACCTCTTGGACGCACCACAGTTTTAACCGCCATTGCCACTCACATCCAAGGCTTAAATCAGCGGAGGCACTTGACCTGTCGAAAGTCTTTGACACTGATAGTCATGCTTACTCTTCGAGTATATTCTGCAATCCACAAGAAGACATGGATCATAAATTATCTGAGTGGTTTTTAGATAAACGCTCCAGACCCCGTATGGTGTAACTTCTACTTCTCTAAACTAACCGCGACTTCATTAGGAATGGATGTAATATCATATGGGAACGACTGAACAATCATGGTACGGCTCGCAACATTAATGAATTATGTGTTATCTCAACGAAATACATCAGTTCCTGTTCACCAGGTCCTTCCAGTTAGGGACTACAATGTCATGTTGACTAAACAGTTCCTCCTGGGGTGTCATTAGAAGAGTCATCCCAACTTTAACATCACACAGTTGGATGCTCCCCCAAGACAAGTCAGGAAGGACCTTCGCATATACGAGGATAACGTACACAGTTATTACCTTGTATACAGCGATCGTCTCTATGAACGACATTCATAGAGACGCCATCAACTCCGCGGTCGTAGGATTCGGCACGAATATCGTACTTCTAGGTCGCCCCCCGCCCACAACAGACACAAAAGAAAACCTGCCGCGGAAACAAGGGTTGTTCTGAAATATCTAAGACCGGGATAGAGCAAGCATGAACTGTGCCATCCACAACGAATGTCCAGCATTTGTTCAAGGTCCCCATAATACCGAACTCATATTCAACAGCTTAGTGATAAATCCATTGGACTACCTCAGTTTGTCCACAAATCCAGTTGAAGTAGCTCAATTTTTAGGCCTAGATATCGATACAGAACCCCTGAACTACATTATTGTATAATTTTAACTGCTACAACAACAAAAATCACTTGGACGAAGGGGTTAAACCTAAATTTAGGATTTGGTGTCACCTTTAGCAGACTATTTACGTCCTCAGCCCATACAACTGCAATAACGCACATATTTTGAAATAAAAACAAGGTCTTCAAAGCACCAGCCGATAGCAATAGAGAAAAATCAACTCCTACTGCGTCTCGCATCATAATAATACAATAAAGTTTACAGATATTGTTAAATACATAAAATTAAATTATTTAAATAAATAAACTAAAATATAAATTAAACAAATTACAAAATAATAGTTGTGAAAAATAAATTAGTTTTCACTAACAATACGAATCGCATTGTTCAATTATTTAAATTGTTTTGAATTGATTTATTATAAACAAGTTTAAGTCATGCAGACAACAAAAAAGCAATGACAAAATAATAGTACAGCAGAAAATAAATAAATAAATAAATTATAAAGTTTGACAAACAAGTTTTAGACTAATCAACATTTTTTGTTTCCTTAAATTAGCAATTATACCGGTCATAAAAAAAAACTACGTTACTTAACAAGTGATAGTAGTTACACATTGAACACATTTGTTTTTATATTGGAAAAACTAGATAATTTTGATATTTGTAAAATAAAAGTTTTAAAAGTAAATAATCAAAATGTTTGAGTAACAACATATGAATTAATTTTCTTGAAAATAACATTTTAATTGAATTATCAGCAAAAAGAAAAACATTTATAAAGAATTGTTTATTTTTTTTTTTGTTCGTATGTAATTAGGTAAATAATTAGTCATACACTTATAAGTATGTATGCATGTGTGTATTAGGGTTTGTTGTCTGATAAAGTGGAAATAGCTTATGTATAATACACACTTCATTGTTGAAACGTTTTTCTACAATCCTCAATGAATAATAATGCATTTCTTTATTTCTTTAAATAATAACAAAAAAATATTTTATTATTACAGAATAACCAATATACAATATTCAAAACTTTGCTGATATTCAAGTTACAATCAATTATCTAGCAATTTTTAAAAAGGATGTCAAAACATTCAAAGTTCTATTCTTATGGGTACGAGGATACGGGGATTCAATAGGCAACTGTGTTGCTGATGAATCCGCGAAAAGCGAATACATAGACAGAATGTTTTATGGACTTTTTCAGACATGATGGCTAAACAAACTAACATTTATCGTAACTAGGAAATTATGGCAGTTATACTAATAATATAAAATTAAATAACAAAAAATATTTTTTTTATATCGGGGTATAGCTAGTAAGAATATAAAAACAGTTAATTAAATACCTCTGAAAAAGGTTTTTTCTTACTTGAAATTTGTGATTTTGGCGAATGAATATAAAATCAAGTAAATGTCATATTTAAATGAATAAGTTAAACAGTAATTTAAATTGAATGCAATTTAGTTGCTTTATTATATACGATTAATTAAGAGAAGCTGCCGAAATGGTTCAAAGTCAAGGTCAGAAAGAAATCAAATTTTAACAAATTAAAATTTTATTGCAAATACCAACACACTTACAATTACGATAAATCTTTAATAATAAGCTAATGGAAAGCATTATAATAAAAATAAAAATGCATTTTACTTTTGTAATCACAGATCAGATATCAAAAATATAACAAAACACTTCGGTACTTTAATACAGATATTTATGTACCAGATTAAATCTTCCCAATATGTTGTTAGAAGAAAAATAAGATAACAAATATTCTCGATACCGACATTAATAAACGATTTATGAAAAGTAGGGCTTATATGCGAATACATAATCCTTTTATGTACAGGGTATTGATCTGATGATGTTATTGATGATAGAAAAACAAAAAGCATATTAAGAGAATTCGAAACAGTTTCAACCTAGAAATTATATCCAATCAGTTTACTAAAGAAGAACGTGTAAGAGAATTTAAATTACTCTATAAAACCTAGCCGAAGAAATTAATAATTCCCCTGACAAAAACCTAGAAGACTGCGGGTGTTGAGTCCCTCAATTTCTCACAGTATGAAACCTATTTCCTAGATATTTCAAACTCATATTCTGTACACTAGGACAGTGGCAAGTCTAGTTCCTACGCATCTTCGCATGTCCCTTTCAATCCCTGTCGGAATCCTTAGACTGGGCTTATCCAGTCTTATAAGCATCTTGGTTGGCCTTACATTAAGTGTTGGCCATAAGGCCGCAGTCTCTCAAAGATCTACCTATAATGGTGGCTTTACTCTCCCTCGTTATTAAAGTTTCCTCTAATTATAAACCGATCCGCCTAAAATGTTGATAAATTATATATGTACATAGGTATATCTGATATATTTTGTGTAGATATATGTATATTAGTAAAATATATGTACATACAATATAGAAAAACAATTGTTGAACTGTTCTAAGATAACAACGTGTGATTTCACTTACCCCATAATGTTGGGGATTTGCACTATCCCTCCATGTATAACGATATTCAGCGTTGGAGGCAATATTTCCATCATCATATAAAGTGGCCGTAAAATTAATAGTCGATCCAATTAGTACCGAATCGGAGCTTTGGATCTGGACATTATAGGCCTCCACTAAAAACAAAAGAAATTTTATATTTTAGATATAAACAAACTTTAAAATATACTAGCAGGGGCGTTTTTTAGTTTTTTTTAACAAAAAAAAAAAAATCACATAAAAAACTGAATAATACACACCACCACTCCAAATGACGCAGTATAAGAAAACATTTATCAATAAATGCAAATGACGATATGAATGTTGTTTAAAAACCTGCATATTTGCCTCTGTCTGCTATTGCTTTTCCTCTTGCTGTCGGGCTTGATGGGAGGGAGGTAGTTAGCCTTTAGAAATTTTATATCTTCTATTGTTGCTTCCAGACTTTGCCTGCGAATGGAAAAACCACGTTAAAAGTTGGTTTTTTTCCTCAGCCAAATAATTCCTGGTATTTTATAAGTGTAATTATTTTCTTTGGATATTATGAAGTTTATTATTGTTTTTTGTTTTTTATATGTTTATTTGTTTTTTTATTATAATAATTTATTATTTGTTGTATTTTTTCTACTTTTCGTTTACTCTCTTTTTTGGTGTTGTTGTAATAATGAACAATTCTTACAAAATTTTTTCTTAGATTTTTTAGAACTTAACACTAATTCAATGCACTCGTTCTATTTATTATTCACATCATATTTACGTACTAAATTATTTGGTTAATTAATTACGTTATAAATTTATTAAACTACAAAAGATTTTTAATATTATTTTTTCAATATGATTTCTTTTCTTTATGCAAATATGTTGCAGAGTCCTGCGCCGACAAATATAAAGGAGGCGGCCGCTGACGCTAAAAATATCGGCAGCGGCTTAAAATTTACTGTAAGGCGGCTAAGTTCTCAAATACGTTTAGTTTTTAAATAAAAACGGAATCCAAGAGATAAAAAGTGTACATAATTTTGGAAACAAATATATTGTTTATAACAACAAAAGTCGTGTGAGAAATTATGCAGGGATGGAAAAAAATTAAATTTGATTACTTTTTTTTTTAAATTAAAAACAAATCCTTTCACCAAGTTTTATGAGGATCGGCCTTTATTTTCCCAGGTATTTATTTTTGCCGCCTAGTAATCTATATAATAAAGTTTTTAATAATCTAAATAACATTTTAATTTGTTTTTTTTTTTCTAATTTTATAAAAAAAATTGTAATACGCCATAAAAAAAGCATAATCTACACACAATATCGCAAACTAAGTATATCAGTTAGTGTGTCATTTTCAAGCGGCCATACCCTGTGTAAAGTAAGCCAGAGTGTGTGTAAGTTTGTAAGCACTTTCGAATACAAAATAAGCAACACAATATCAATGTAGTAAGATATAAATTTTCTGTTGGGTACAGACTAGACTATAAACTTTAATATACAGTATAATACACACTAAAATTAAGATTAGACTATAGAATAGACTATAGACATTTGTAACTACTCCATTTTATACGTGAAAAAACGTCAAAAATCTCCAAATGCTGGTTAAAAATCGCCAAATTTCCCGCTAACCGCTAAAACGCATATTTCCCGCAATTGTTATTTCAAAAACATAAGATTTGATGGGAAAACGTCAAATTGGCAACACTGCGAGTGGCCATATCGGATTCGTATCATATTGTTTTTTGTTAATCTGGCCATCTTGGTGCCACGAAAACACGACGTCAAATTGTCAGACTGAAGTCGAAAGTTTTTCGTTTGGTTGGAGAACAAAAGCTGGTTTTTTGAAATAAAATATCGAAGAAAACTCCTCCACAGGGAATAATGTCTAAAGATACTAATCCTAAGGAGGCCATTATTAAAACCGCGTATGCGGATGTTAATAAATTTGGCCAAAATGGTGAATTCGATAAAGCCATGAAAGCTGTCAATCGTAGTAAGTAGATGAAAAAATATATTAAGGGGACCAGGTGAATGTGACGACGATGAATTGAATGAGTGTGAAAGTGAATTTACCATTAATGAAAATTGTTTTTGTTTTTACTCAAAACAGTTCTCGGTGTAGCACCCGATGATACAACAGCTTTACATTGCAAAGTCATTTGCTTGATACAACTTTCAAAATTTGAGGAAGCTGCTAAATTTATTGAGAAAAATAAATTAACTTCCCTGGTCTTTGAGAAGGCCTACTGTGAGTATCGTCTCAATAAGCCCGAGAATGCTTTGAAAATTATTGATGAGGCCCATTTGCCTACACTGCCACCCAATCTCAAGGAATTGAGAACTCAAGTTTTATATCGCTTGGAACGCTATGAGGAATGTTTCGATTCGTACAAAGAAATCATTAAAAATACTAGTGATGATTACGAAGACGAAAGACGCACGAATCTAAGTGCTGTCGCTGCCAATTTGGCTCTGGACCATACTAAGGAAATACCAGCAATTCCTGAAGAGACTTATGAGCAACATTTCAATGGTTCTTGCATTCTATCAAATCGTCAAAAGTATGCCGAAGCCGAAAAGAAATTGCGTGCCAGTGAGAAATTATGCCGTGAAACTTTGGAAGAGGATGGCGCAACCGAAGAAGAAATTAGAGAGGAATTGGACATAATTCGTGTTCAAGTAGCATATTGCATGCAAATGCAAGGTAAAACAAAGGAGGCAGCTGCTATTTATGCCGAGGTCTTGAAAAATAAACCTAAAGACCCGGCATTAATTGCTGTAGCCAGTAACAATTCGGTGGTCATTAATAAGGATCAACATGTATTTGACTCGAAGAAAAAAATACGCTCGGCCATGGCCGATGCTTGCGAATTCAAATTGACTTCTCGCCAAAAGAAGGCTATTGCTTTGAACAATTGTCTTTTGGCATTATTCACTAATGCCAGCGATCAGGTACAACAGTTTGGCACAAAACTGGCTCATCAATATCCCGATTTGGTATTCCAATCTTTGTTGATCAAAGCTTCACAATTGGCCAAGGATAAGAAACACAAAGAGGCTGTAGAGTTATTGCAAAAATTCACCACCTCTACTGCAGATAAGGATCAAGCCTTTGCTGCTAAATTCGCCATTGTCCAGTTGTTGCTATCTCAAGGCGCTCGCAAAGAAGCTGCTGATGTTTTACTATCATTAGGCGAGGCAAAATACAAGCCGGGTGTCGTTTCTGCTTTGGTCACCCTCTACTTGGGCTTGAACAATAAACCAGCTGCTTCTGAATTGTTGAAAACTGCTGTAGATTGGTATAAGAAAAACAATGTTAGCAGTGCCGATTTGTCTGATATGTGGCGTCAAGCCGCCGAGTTTCATTTACGTGGTGGTGCCACTGAAACTGCAGCCAGCTCTCTGGAAGAGTTGCTTAAACTGAAACCCAACGATATGAAAGTATTGGCTCAATTGGTTATTGCTTATGCCCAATTCAATCCAAAGAAAGCTTTGGAAGTTAGCAAAAAATTACCCAAATTGGAAACCCTTACCACAGCTTCTGAAATTGATGCTTTAGAAGCAGCCAATTGGGTCATGTCTACTAAGGCAGCTAAGAAATCGGCCAATGCCAAAATCGAACAATCGCCTGGCACTCCAGTGGTCGAACGCAAGAAGAATCGTAAACGTAAGCGCAAGGGTAAATTGCCCAAAAACTATAATGCTGAAATACCACCAGATCCAGAAAGATGGTTGCCCAAATATGAACGTACTGGTTTCCGCAAGAAGCGTGATCGCAGAGCTAAGGACATTATCAAGGGTTCACAGGGCATGTCCACTCAGGCTGCCGAGCAATAGTGAGTATATTTTTAATTTAAATAGAATGATTTTATAAAACAATTCTGTTTTCATTTTCCAGCGATATGTCTAATCGTGCCAACTTGGGTAAAAATTCTCCCGCTACTCCTGTGTATCAGGAACCCACTCCCGGACCTCGTCAACAACACCGCAAAGGTGGTCATAAGAAGAAGAAGGGTGGACGTTTCTAAACAAATGCATTTCTATATTATGCTGTGGAACATGATTCCGCCAACCAGTTGTTTTTATTTTACTACTTTTTTATAACTAAAGTATGCAAAAATATTATGGAATATCTTAATATATTAATGATAAAATTTGTTTTCAATATGAGAAGAAATATTCACTATTCGTCATCATCATCTTTATTGGCTTTTTCATCGCCTGGGGGAGTATTATCTTCCTTTCTGGTGTCGTAAGAGTGTAGAGGTAATGTTTCTAGCCACTCGAGCAAAGGTTTCTGCTCACATTCTGTGCGATAAATGTTATCAAAAATTTTCTTCTCGATGAACTCTTTTATTTCGGGTTCTTGTTTCTCCCAAGTCAAAGGATTATGTATGCCATCCTGGCCATAACGATCATTATAGCGTTCATAGTGCACAGTATCTAATACCAAACCCAAGCCAGGTGCCATGGGCAAATCCAAGCGCTCTTCAGTTAAAGCTCTTTCTAAAGAGCTACAGTCTGTGTGACCACGAACTATAGCTATGGTAAGACCCACCATTTTACGTATTTGATGCAGCATAAAACTTTGACCTTTCACTTTAACCGTAACAAATTCCACACCTTGAGGACTCATAAATGGTTCTGTGCAAGTAAACGACATTATATAACGTTTGGCTGAGGGATCTAAAAAGTTTCTGTAATTTTAAATACACATTGACATTATATTGTTGTAGGTGTTGTTGTTACACTTGATGAGGTACTTACTTTCTGCTAGTAAAATTATGAAAGTTTTTGGTACCTTCAAACATTTGCAATACTTCTTGGGCTTTATTCAGCCTTTCCTCCGAAAGACGATAACTTTCTAACTCAGCCTTTTCATTGCAATCAGAAAATGCTATACTAGGCATTGTGTATGTGTAGGTGCGGGCATTACATTGATCTTTGGCATTAAAACCTTTCGTAACACGTTCTGTGGCAAAAAGTCGAATTTGATCAGGTAGATCAGCATTCAAAGCATTCACATCTAGTTCTTCAGCTAAAATATATTATAAATTATTTTGTTATTAAATGGGATATAGAAAATAAACTTATAAAATATGAATACGAGGGTAAGAGTTTGAAACACTTGAAACCGGAAAAATTCCCCTCATAGTGGTCTAAATTACGTTTTGTTTGTTTATTTATTAACTTGTCCAGGGACTGGAGATTTGTCAAATGTTCCAGTTCCTGGACAAGTCTATTGACAAACTTTTGGACCAGTCTATAGTCTAGTCAAAGAAGTTTTGAATATTAGATTTGATCCAGCGTGTCCATGTGTAACTTCTTTTCCTAATCGTAACAAACATTTAAATTATTATAACTTCAGTTATGGAATAACTTACGCAATTTTATTGAACACACTTGTCTAGCAGCCGATACTCCTTTATCAGTACGGGCTGCACGTTGAAAACAAGCCAATTGGGCCTGTTCAAACATTTCCTCGGTTACCCATTTATGCTTAAGCATTGCCTTAAATAATTCCTCCTCTATGGTCTGCATGCCCGGATTGCGTTGCATACCAAAATACTTGGCCCCAGAATAGCCCAATAGAATGGCAGTCTTTTTGCGTTTTACCCGATCGGCTGGATTGAAGGGGGCTCTCTTTACATCACCCTTTTCCTCATCTTCTGTTTTCCAGTCGACCCATTTGCGTCGTTTAAGATTTCTTTTTAACTTTTTCATTTCTTTGGTAGATTCAATGGCTTCTTCCTTTTCTTGCTTTCTCAACTCTTGTTGATGTTCCAGTTTTTCCAAAGCTTCCGTCATAGCTGCTGCAAAACCTTTGTAACGTTTGCAAATATTATAAATTAAGTCTGGTGATTTAAAGTTGTTGGTTGGAGTCGTTAATGTACAAATTGTTTTTAGGCGTTCTATAATAACAAAAGAAATCTAATAAAATATTTGTTTGTAGATGTGAAAATTTAACAATATTTCTACCTGCCTTTAAATTTGTTATAATTCTGCTTACAACTAACATAACTTTGTGCTACTTATTTTAAATTTAATTTTAAATAAATAAAAATAATTACACACGTGGATATGTGCAATATTTTAATAATTATCAGGACCACTGTCACAGGGTATACAGAGGCGTCACGAGCAAAAAACTATTTCCCTCTCTTTCGCACAAAACGAATTCAATAATTTTTTTTAGCTGTATTTTATATACCTCTTCTCACCAAACAATTTCAACATCAAACAAAAGCTGATTTTAGACTTTTTTAAATGTCAAAAGTGACACCTCTGTATACTTTGTGCCACTGTGGTTTTTCTGATTGTTTTGATCAAGGCGAATTTTCATAAGGTGGTGTTCTTCAATCAGCTGATATTTTTTTCGTTCGATTCGTACTTATTGCTGTCAAAGTTTGTTATTGTTTAAATTTTTATATATAAAAATTTCCATTAAAATGGAGAAAAAGTTCTTTTAAATTATTTATATAAACAAATATTATTTTTGTTCTGTATATCAAAGTTTTTGGGTTACCATTTTAAATGTAAAAATCATAGCATTGAAAAGAGAGCACACACAAATTTTTACACTCGTAATCGTATTATTAAAGCAGCTATCAACCTTCCAAGAATGTTTTAAATATTTTCTGGTTTAGCAATCTAGGGTTATACCCAATAGTTGTGTTTTGTTGCTAACGTTCAATGGCAATTTAATATAAATTTAAAATTTATAAACGTTGGGAGTTAACGTGTAAAATTATACAAGTTAATTTTAACTTTGATAAAAGTGCTACCAATTCAAAAATAAAAATACAAATATGAATGTATGGATGTCAAATAATTGAAAAATATTTTAAATAAAACTTAAATTACAAAAAATTAACAAATGAACAAACATTTTCAAGATATTGTAAATAATTTCAAGTTTTAGCTGATTTTTTCTGTGAGGTGATGCCAAGTCAGGTAATGTTCATTTTGTTGCTAACTACGAGCGTTAACATTCTATAATAGCAAAAAAACACAGCAAATATATTTTTATATTTACTATGTGTAAATCATGTGATCAATAAAAAACAGTATCGAAACACATTATATAACAAAAGCCAATTACCTTGCCTTCCACGTTATGGCCATATATTAAAATTACTCCGCCGGAGTAGAATTTTCATTAGAAGTATAATTTTTTCATAATTAAAAAAATATAAATCTACCGGAATAGAATTTTTCATTTGGAACCAACTTTTTTTCTATTTATTTTTTATAAAATATAAAAATTTCATTAAATGAATTCGTTGTATGTAATGTTTTTGACATCAATACGTACCAAATATGGAAATTTTTGTTATGAACTACTACAACCTTCAGTAAATTCGCCTTGCATATAATCAAATGACATTTCTTAGAAGAGCAGGGTGTTGCATATTGAAAAAATATATTATTATTATTTTAGGAGAAAAACATAAACTACAGAAAACAATTTTATTTTTAATTTATTACATCGTCAGACGTGTTTTTAATTATTTACTAGGCTTTATAGTTATAATCTATGACATCTTTAAATCCCGATTTGTCATTACCTACCTGTCGCGTTTGTTTACAAAACAATCAAGATGAAGAAATGTCTTCGATTTTTGATGTGGACGCGGACTTTGATGATCTGCATATCTATGAAAAAATTGAACAATGCGCTGGTATTAAGGTAAATAGAAGTGATTTTCATTTATTAAAAGCATAAAATATTACATTATTATCTAAATTTTTAGATAATACGACATGATAAAATACCCACCTTAATATGCGGTGACTGCTATGGATTCTTAAAAGTTTCTTATAAATTTCGTACCATTTGTCGCAATTCTAATGATTATTTAAAAGAATTTGTTGTTAGTGGCAAGTCAAGTCCTCTACTACCAGAGGAATCTTCGCTCCATGATAATCCACTTCTAATTCAGCAAAAGGCCACTAAAAAGAGAGGGAAACGAACACAGTATAAAACAAGAAGAAAGGAAAGGATTTTATCGCCTGTGGAAGAGATCATAAAAAGTGAACATGAATTAGTGGTAAAAGATGAAAACGATTTTGCCCCAAATACCATAGATTTCGAAGACTTAAACGCAAGAGATAGTGTTGGTGATGGTGAAATTGAACATTTAGATGAAGAAAATAATGAAGTATGGTTAGATCCAGATTACCAAGATGATGATGATGACTTTGATGTTTCAATCGGTTCGTTAGAATTAGATGTCAAAGAGGAAGTCGATGAATTAGAGGAAACTACTAAAAAGCGAACTAAGAGTAGTAAGAAAACAAAAAAGGCGGGGACAAAGCCATCAAAGACTCTGGATATTTCTTCAGATGGTGCTGCAATTATACGTGAGAAAAAACCCCGAGCAAAAAGAGTAAAAAGAGAAAGGCAACCGCATATTTGCGATATTTGTGGAAATAAATATCCACGACGTTACGCTTTAGAAATGCACATGAGAAGACATCGTGATGAGAAACCATACGCATGCGAGTAAGTTGGATATTGTCATATACATTGTTCTTTTTCAACGTTTGTGTAGGATTCCATAAAACGAATAATTTATTAACACCTATTTTAGAATTTGTACCTACGCCTTTCACAGTAATTTTGAATTGATACGTCATATGAGAAAACACACTGGATCTCGGCCTTATAAGTGCAGTTATTGTCCTCGAGCATTTGGCGATCAATCTACTTTAATAAAACATGAAAGGTAAAAACACTTTATTAGAAAGAATTTAATAAGTCATAAATTTCCTATTTATTATACTTTAGAATACATCGCAATGAAAGACCCTTCAAGTGTGATACATGTGGAAAAACGTTTACCTATTCTAATGTCCTGAAATATCACATATTGACACATACTGGAGAAAAACCATACGCGTAAGTTATTCATAAATTTTTTTTAGAAAAAAAAAGTTAGGTATCTTTTTGTTTAATTTGTAGTTGTGAAATCTGTGGAAAAACTTTTACAAGAACTCATCATTTACGAGCTCATTTGGAAACTTTACAACATCAAAATGATCCCAAAGCCAAAATGCAATTGGCAAATATTAGAAAAAATAATATAAGTCAATAAAATGTTTGTAATATAAAATAATGACTTCAACACAGAATACAAGACAGTATGCTAAAGATTCAATCAGCGATTAAGGAGTTGTATCTCTTGAAATCCTATGCCTGGTACGTGAAAACTTTGATGTTTTCATATAAATACCTATGTTTGTACACATTATTACGCCTTTTGTGTTTGATCTGCATTTCACTTTCAAGTGAAAATAAAATTATCTCCATCAAATAAATGGTAAATAAATGTCGGAACATATTGTAATTCTATTACATCATGTATTATAAGTTATAGACCGGTAATTAAGGTAAAAGTTTTTCGTTAAACAAAGTTTAAAGTTCAATTTCTTCTCACTAGTTTTCTTTCGGTGATTAACTTATACATTTCTTAGAATCTAATTCAGAAACATGAACAAGAAATATATTTAAATTGTTTGTGTGCAAATTGCTGTTCCTTCTGAGTCAGTTTATTAGAATTTTTAACTTTTCGAATATTATTATTAAGTTAGAGATTTTTAAATTATTAGTATAAGAAATTAATTTTATTTATTTAGTGTTTTCATGTGAAAAAACATATTTGTTTAAATAAAAACAAAATCAAAACAATAATGCATTTATTTTTATAAGAAACTACTAATTTAAGGTTTAGATACCAAAAATAATTCCCATAGTATCTCGAGAAAAAATTACATTTTATTCATTTACAACCATCGAACAACGAGAACATTTGTGAAATTGTAGAAAAATACATAAGTAAATAAGTGGTTGTAAATAAATATCATTCAAAAATAACGTTTTAGGGCGTTCAATGACTTTTAGTTTTATAAGAAACAACTAAGTTGACGTTTAAATCCATAAAATAGGGTTCCTATAGCTGAAGCTAAAAGACAATTATTCTACTATTGCAATTTATAAAATGTCGACTTCAATTGAAAATATATCATTCCTTTGAGTGAAAAGTTAAAAAAATTGAAGAACCTTAAAAAAGGACACTTTATCCTTTGACCCAGTTCACCAAATATTGATCCTAGGCCAGAAATTTTGAGAAATGGTATCATGGATTGGGCAAAACTTACATTTTCGGTAGGAACATCAGTCACAGCTTTAACAGTCATTATTTAAATAATTATTTAAAACAAATACATAATTTTGCCATCACTGGTATATATGTATGCATGTGTGTTTGGATGCAGCTGATTATTTTTATTGTTTGTTTACATTTGGCACAAAGTACCCTGTGATTTTTGTACTACACTTTTGAAAACATTATATTATTTAAATATACGCCGGAGCAGGGTGCACTTATAAGGTGAAGTCAATTCAACAGCTGATCACTCATTTTTTTTATTTGAGGTAGATACAACTGTCAAAGTACACCATTTAGAGTTGCCACAATCCGAAAAAATATGTACATCTATCTAGGGATTCATTATATTTTTAGGCAAAAAATTAATAAATAAATTTTATATTCATTTTAATCCGTAGTAAATTTATGCGAAATACTCAAATGCTCATTGAGAGTACAAACATCCCACAATTGTAAATAAAATTATTAAAACTCGATTTGATCATAGATATCTTAATTTTTAACAACTTTCCATGGTAGTGGTTTGGTCACATTTCTATAAAGATCATTATATATTTCTTATACGACAATAGTAGAGACCTACATGGTATTATAAGTTCCCAATATTGACTGATAAAAATAATATGTATATAATTTGTATTTTTGCTACTACTTACAATTTTGCAATCTAATACTAATTTTTTGTTATTTTAATTGATAATTTATTTACTTTTTTAATAAGTAAATAATGAATAATATTCTAACCCCCTCATTCACAAACAACATTTTTATTTTATAAAAGGTTTATAAAACAAAATTTCCATACAAAATACCGTTTATAAAATAAAAATTTTGTTTTTGAATAATTTTTCAATTCATGTATAATTTTTAATAAATTTTATCTTATAATACATATTTACTTTACGTGAAGAGATTTTTGGGCATGTGGGATTGTCTTTTTGTAAGGTAAATTAAAATAAAAAATACGGTGGCAACATGTAAATTTTTTGACAGAAGTATCTACTTTTGTTGTTTTTGTAGAATTAACTTTACCTTATAAGTGCACTCTGCGCCGGAGCAGTTTTTAATAATTTGCTGAGCTATTCCTATTCTACTTATATTGTATACTACTTTATATTGTAATCTATGACTTCTTTTACTATTGACTTTTCAAAGCCCACATGTCGAGTTTGTTTACAAAACAGTCAAGACGAAGAAATGTCTTCAATTTTTGATGTGGACTCGGAATTTGATGATCTGCATATCTACGAAAAAATTGAACAATGCGCTGACATTAAGGTACGTCCAAATGATATTCATGTGATACAAACATTTATTAATATCTTCAATATATGCAGATAATACGCCATGATAAAATACCAACCTTAATATGCGGTGACTGCTATGGATACTTAATAGTTTCCTATAAATTTCGCACTATCTGTCGTAATTCTAATGAATATCTAAAAGAATTGTTTGTTAGTGGTAAGAGTACTCCGCTACAACTGGAGGAATCATCGCCCAATGATAAACCCGTGCTAATAGAAAAAAAGAGAGGCAAAATAACACAGTACAAAACAAGAAGAAAGAAAAGGATTTTATCGCCTGTGGTAGAGACCATAAAAAGTGAACATGAATTAGCGGTAAGAAATGAAAACGATTCAATAGATTTTGAAGCATTGAATGTAAGAGATGCTGTTGGTGTTGGTGAAAGTGAACATTTAGATGATGAAAATAATGACGTGTGTTTAGATCCAGATTACCAAGATGATGATTTTGATGTTAGAAGAGAAGCAGACGAATTCGAGGATATTAGTAAAAAACGAAATAAGAGCAGTAAGAAAACTAAAAAAGCAAGGACAGAGCCTTCAAAGACTCTGGATATCTCTTCAGACGGTGCTGCAATTATACGCGCAAAGAGAGTGCAAAAGGAAAGGCTACCGCATATATGCGAAATTTGTGGAAATAAATATCCACATCGTTATGCTCTGGAAATGCATATGAGAAGACATCGCAATGAGAAACCATACGCATGCGAGTAAGTTAAATGTTTATATGTATTTATAAGGACACAATACAAGTTCTCTTTTCACGTTGAAGTATGGTTCTATAAAACGAATTAAACATTTTTAATTTATTCCTATTCCAGAATTTGTAGCTACTCTTTTCATAGAAATTTTGAATTGATACGTCATATGAGAAGACACACTGGATCTAGACCCTATAAATGCAGTTATTGTCCACGAGCATTTGGGGATCAATCTACTTTAATAAAACATGAGAGGTAAAAAAAGCTTTATAAACCATAATTACATATGTACATAAAACATAAACTACCTTTTTGTTATACTTTAGAATACATCGCAATGAAAGACCCTTCAAGTGTAATACATGTGGGAAAACGTTTACCTATTCTGGTGTCTTAAATTATCACATGTTGACACATACTGGAGAAAAGCCATATGCGTAAGTTATACCGAAATATTATCCAAAGAAGCAAATATGTTATGTAGTATATTTTTGTTAAATTTTTAGTTGTGAAATCTGTGGAAAAACATTTTCAAGAACTCATCATTTACGAGCTCATTTGGAAACTTTACAACATCAAAATGATCCCAAAGCCAAAATGCAATTGGCAAATATTAAGAAAAATAATATAAGTAAATAAAATATGTATAATAAAAAAATGACTTCAACAAGATTGCAATCCTGATTTGAAATCCTGGACTGGTACTTGGGGGTTTTTATATACATACATATGTATACATGAATGTATCGAATGGAAATATGTAAAGTTCTACATCATATTCCGTTCTATCCATTTTCAAAGTTTTAAAAAGTTTAATAATCAGATTTAAAAAAATACAAATTCTTTACAGGATTTTATTATGGTTACATATAAGAATTTAATACAAAATAATACCTTTCATAAGGTCCAAATACATACAATACTTTGCGTCAAACTGCGTTTCATAATGAAAAAAATTGAAGTCCAATCGTTGCGTAGCCGACGTATGAACAGATAATTCATGCAGTTTGACGAATTGATTGAAAACAATGTATGAACGTAGTATTACAGAACACAACTACCTCATTAAATGCACCCTGATAGAATAATTGAATAAATATTAAATTTCATTTTGCCATCCCTGGTATGTATTTAGGGACAGGTGTTTGTTTTTATTTTTGTTTACATATATTTAGTTATACACTGTTGTTGAAAACAATCTAAATTTTAATATACGCCGGAAGAACAGTTTTTAATAATTTGCTGAGCTATACTCTTATTGTTTAAGTTGTGATCTATGACTTCTTTTAATACCGACTTGTCAAAGCCCATATGTCGAGTTTGTTTACAAAACAATCAAGGTGAAGAAATGTCTTCAATTTTTGATGTGGACTCGGAATTTGATGATCTGCATATCTACGAAAAAATTGAACAATGCGCTGATATTAAGGTACGTTCAAGTGATATTAATGTAATACAAAAACTTATTAATTCCTTTAATATATGCAGATAATACGCCATGATAAGATACCCACCTTAATATGCGGTGAATGCTATGGATTTTTAAACGTTTCCTATAAATTCCGAACTGTTTGTCGTAATTCTAATGAATATTTAAAAAAAATTGTTGTTAGTGGCAAGTCCACTCCTTTACTGCCAGAAGAATCTGCGCTCAATGATAATCCACTGCTAATTGAAGAAAACGCCAATAAAAAGAGAGGGGAAGGAACACAGTACCAAACAAGACAAACGCAAAAGGCTTCTCCCAATCCCCCTATAATGGAGAACATAGAAACTAAACAAGATTTTATTAAAAATGAGAACGATTCCAATTCACCCATCAATTTCGAAGACTTCAATGATCTTCATGATTTAGATGATGATGAAGTGTGGTTGGATCAAGATTACCAAGATGATGATGATTGTGATGTGTCAATCGGTTCATTACAATTGGATGTCAAGGATGAAGATGACGATTTCGATGAACCTAAGAAATCTCTTAAGAGCAATAAAAAATCTACCGCAAAAAAGAAAATAGCGGTGAAAAAAACTTCAAAGACACTGGATATATCTTCTGATGGTGCAGCAATTATACGAGAGAAAAAACCCCATGGCAAAAGAGAAAAGAATTACAACCAACCACAAGTATGCGAAATTTGTGGAAATATATACCGGCGTCGCTACACTTTGGAAATGCACATGCGAAGACATGGTGATAAGAAAGAGTTTGAATGCGAGTAAGTTGTTACATTTCTTATTTTGTTATTCCTGTCAAAAGATATTTTGTTTTAAGACATTTTCAAAAGTTTTTGGGTTTAGCGATGACCATTTGATAGCTGGATAGTTCTCCTTTTTGTTTTTCTTTCAAGTTGTTGCTATTTAAACAAAACAAGGAATCCTTATGAGGATAATAACAAAAACAGTTTCTGCTCTGAATTAAATCCTGTATTTCTCATTAATTTCATTATATTTATCCATAATTTAGAATTTGTAGTGATGCGTTTCATAGTAATTTTGAATTAAATCGTCATATGAGAAAACACACTGGATCTAAACCCTATACATGCAGTTATTGTTCTCGATCATTTAGCGATCATTCAACTTTAACAAAACATGAAAGGTAAACTTATTAAGGAACAAATAAATAAAAATATAAAATTGTTTTCTAAATTGTAATGTTTCTTTAACTTTATTTAGAATTCATCGTAATGAAAGACCTTTTAAGTGCGAGACTTGTGGCAAGAGTTTTACCTATTCGACTGTTTTGAAATATCACATGTACATACATACTGGAGAAAAACCATATGCGTAAGTTTTCCCCGAAATGTTTTCTAAAAACAAAACTAATTTTCACATTGTTTATCTTTAATTTTCAGTTGTGAAATCTGTGGTAAATGTTTTATAAGGAAACATCATTTACGTGCTCATTTGGAAACTTTACAACATCAAAATGATTCGAGAGCTAAAATACAATTGGCAAATATAACAGAAAATAATATGGGCCCATAAAAATCTGTTATAATTAATGTTTTACTCACTGATCTTAATCGCGTGAATAAAGAAAATAACTTTGTGTTTATGTTTACTAAAATTGTTAATCTTTTATTATCTTTCTTTTTGTGTTTTATTAAATCATAATAAATTATAAAAATATATATATGAAAACAAACATATTTTTTCTGTTATACTTGGAAATAATTATATTTATAAACAAATAAAACAGCAGCAAAAATAAATAACAATAAAAGGTTGAATGAAAAAGTTATTAAAAGTTCTTTTTAAATGTTCATCAATTTTATTTTTGTAATTATTTGTTTAATTTATATAATTCCATTATTATTAAACTTGTTTTTTGCTTAATTTACTTGAAAGTGAATTATTAAATATGTAAATCCAAAAAAAAATTACAAGAAATTTTAAAAATGTAAAATTATAAATAAAAAAAAAACAAAATTTTCACAAAAGAAAATTTTTGATTTTTATTATTATTTTTATTAATAATAATATTATTATTTAATAATTTGTTTATAATAAAGTATACTATGTATGATCTTATTTACTTAATAACATGCGAACTTTATCATTTAATAGATTCCTCAATTCAGTTACCATAAATTCATGGGATTCTTTGAATGTTGAAGCAACATCACCTATCAGCGTAGCCTCCACTTCGGGTTTTAAAGACATATCAGCCATAAAGGAATTTAGATTTCTAGGCAGTGCTGGTGTTTTCCAATTAACTAAAATTTAAAGAAATGTTAAAAAATCAGATTAAGGTGAAACAAAGATATAGTTATATCCTTCGCAGAAACTTCGGAAAGTTTTATTTGCTTTTTTTAGTGTTCAGGGAGAAGAAATTATGCTTATACTTAAATGAAATTTTTAAAAATTAAGTAAAATTTCCTCCCTTTTTGCGAATTATAAAACCGGTCCTTAGTTTTAAATTTCTTTCTATACTTACTTAATAATTTATCACAACGTTTGATTTCTAATTTCAATTGACGCATCAATTCAATAATTAGTAGACAACGTTCTTTTTCACTTATGACTTTTTCGACTTCAGCATTTTGCTTTCGCTTTTGTTTGGTTTTTGGCGAGGCTTGGAGTTTTTCATGAATTGCTTGCAAAATGAAAGCATATAGAGAAATTATCTGTAAAAAGAATAACAAACGATATTAAATTTTTTAAGTGAATCAACAATATATCTATCTATCTATCTATCTATCTATCTATCTATCTATCTATCTATCTATAGATAGACAGATAGATATATTGTCTATCTATCTATCTATCTATCTATCTATCTATCTATCTATCTATCTATCTATCTATCTATCTATCTATCTATCTATAGATAGACAGATAGATATATTGTCTATCTATCTATCTATCTATCTATCTATCTATCTATCTATCTATCTATCTATCTATCTATCTATCTATCTATCTATCTATCTATCTATCTATCTATCTATCTATCTATCTATCTATCTATCTATCTATCTATCTATCTATCTATCTATCTATCTATCTATCTATCTATAGATAGACAGATAGATATATTGTCTATCTATCTATCTATCTATCTATCTATCTATCTATCTATCTATCTATCTATCTATCTATCTATTTATCTATCTATCTATCTATCTATCTATCTATCTATCTATCTATCTATCTATCTATCTATCTATCTATATATCTATCTATCTATCTATCTATCTATCTATCTATCTATCTATCTATCTATCTATCTATCTATCTATCTATCTATCTATCTATCTGTCTGTCTATCTATCTATCTATCTATCTATCTATCTATCTATCTATCTATCTATCTATCTATTTATCTATCTATCTATCTATCTATCTATCTATCTATCTATCTATCTATCTATCTATCTATCTATCTATCTATCTATCTATCTATCTATCTATCTATCTATCTATCTATCTATCTATCTATCTATCTATCTATCTATCTATCTATCTATCTATCTATCTATCTATCTATCTATCTATCTATCTATCTATCTATCTATCTATCTATCTATCTATCTATCTATCTATCTATCTATCTATCTATCTATCTATCTATCTATCTATCTATCTATCTATCTATCTATCTATCTATCTATCTATCTATCTATCTATCTATCTATCTATCTAATTTAATTTAATTTAATTTAATTTAATTTAATTTATTTTCAAAATAAACCTAGCCTGTTGGCCATAATCGGTTACAAATTTCTATCTATCTATCTATCTATCTATCTATCTATCTATCTATCTATCTATCTATCTATCTATCTATCTATCTATCTATCTATCTATCTATCTATCTATCTATCTATCTATCTATCTTTCTATCCACTTACCTCTAAACAAACAGCCACTTTACTCTGCCATTCACGTCTTCGCCACAAACCATCCTCGGTGGCTTCGTCACTTTCCTTAATTGTTGCTTCACACAAATTCACAACAGCCACTACATTATCACTAACCACTTTACATTGCAGCGGTAAATTGGTATCACCCACATACATTTGCTTCACCAAAGTGGCCAAATCACTGAAGAACTTTTCATATGGCATTTCGAGTAGTAAATGCAAACGTGTTGGCAACAGATTGACTAGAAAACGATTGTGTAATGGTTTAATATCGGCCGCACGCAAACGTTTAAAAACTTCCAGCCATGAATCACACAACGATTCAATGACGGCGATTTCTTTGGCTGGTGTGGAAATCGTATTTTGACATTCCTTAGCATTGTAAGCAGCGGCTCGACAATATTTAGCACTCAATGTTGGATGGAAGAGATCAACGAAAGAGGCGATTAAACGCAGCAGCAGCGAGCGTATGTGCAAAACTTCGGTTTCTTGTTTAAAAGATTCTTTGCGTTGCTCCTCCACGTCAACTAAATGTATGGGATCCCAACGTATGAGTGCACCCAAATCCCGATTGTCACTTAATTCATGCCATGAAATGCGATCCTCTGCCGGATCTATAGACATTACCATATAGGTGTTGAGATTTTGTTGAACATTTCCATACAACATGACCAAATCACACAATTGAGCCTCTACAGAACTTGATACATAATGTAAACTGTTCGTTAAACGTTCTTTGAAATTCATAAACTCTTCGAGTTTTGAAAATGTACAAAAACGATAGGTCAGCGCTATATACTCCAAACGCTCCTTATAGCTGTTGGTGAAGAATTTCAAAGTAGAATCAAACACCGAACGTGACATAGAGAAACGTCCCGATAACACTAGAGGATTACAGTGCACATAACCCATGGAATCCAATTGTATTTGTTTGATTTCCAAATAATCGTACATCTCCTGAGCGCCCAAATGACAACCCAACATGTGATAGATTTTAAGACTTAAAAGTTTAACATGAAAATTACTTGTGCTGTTGCGCAAAACATATTGCAGCAGACAGAGGGCTTCAAAAATGCGATCTGATTTTTGTTCCTGCTGACTAATGTCGTACATAACATTGGCTAAAATCGAGGTAAAAGTAATATTGATTATTTAAAAATTTTGTTTCTTTCGTTGGTTAGTTGCTTTACCTGCCAATAACGCATAGGGATCAGAGGGTCCCATGTCTGTGGGTAATAGATTTTTACCAAATGTACTCAAACCATGTTCATAGTGCAATTTTAATGCGGTATAAAATGCTAAACGATGCTCCACTTCCAACTCTAAATGTGATCCACAAATTCGTGATACTTGCAAAGCACAAATATGTTTTTGCATTTGTTCTTTCTGCAAAATGTTATTCAGTAATTAATTTTATATAAACTATATAAACCATAAATAATTACATTTTGTGGTAATGTTGTTGAACTAATGCCACTTTCCAGCAGTAATTTATTGGCCAAATCTTGTCTAGCTTGCATGGAAATGGAGGGCAAAAACAGAGTGATATCATGTGTACAACAGGGTTTATCGCCAAACAAACGGAAATATTCTATAACTAGATCACCAAAATCGCCCAATAATTTCTCAGCATCCATATTAAGTTCACGCATACGTTTGTGCAATTCTAAACGTGCCAAATAGGGACCACGCACTTTTTTCTCTGCTGATTCAATAAGCTGTAAACATGAAATTTAAGTTATGTTTTTGTAAAAGCAAATAAGTTGTGGTGTCCTCAAGTACCTGACACAGAAAATCGTGACACTCATCTAAAACAGTTAATAGGGTTTTCTCTTTTTCTTCATCACTTTTTTCAGCACTCGCTTCGGTTTGTTGAAGTTTTAAGAGCTCAAAACAAGTCGTTAGATAATCTTGATAGTAATCCCAACGATCGTCTCTGTAATAAAAGGCATGGTAATGGTTTGTTGAGCTTTATTACTGCAACTTTAGTTTTAAATATCTATTTGTCTTTATAAAACTATAAATAATTTTAAAATCTCTGGTCTAACGAAGAAGAATTAGACAAAGAACGATGCGAGAAATTGACAAAATGCCATAAAATTCGACTGTATCTACGATCATGTCAGTTTTCATTTGGAAGAACTCCTCTCTAGGAATAGCAGATGGATGCTGCAGTCAACTTGGCTAATGCTTATAGTATCAAATATCTGAAGTATGTAAAAGGGAACAAACTCCCGGGGAATAATTGTTCATAATTGGCCTGATAGTTTCTATGTCGTGATATCTTTCATATGTTATATAGAAATTATACTCACTCATCCTTCAATAAATCCTTAAGTAAAGTATTGCAATCTTGCCACATTTTAAGTTCTTTCAAAAGATTTATCTTCAAATAGATGGGAGCACCAGGATATAACTTTTCGCATACCGGACCATTAAGGAATTCCAAGGCTTCTTTAAATTTATCTTGTAATTTTAAAATATGCAAATACAAATAGACTTCTTGCTCTGATTCCAATTTATTTTCTTGGATCATTTTATCCACCATACGTTGCGCCAATGATAAATAGATTTTACGTTTGGTTTCATTGTGACTTTCAGGGCCGCGTATACCCTAAAATGTATAAAAAATATGTAATATTAATATTTAATTTTTTTTTTTACAATTTATTATTAAACGCACCTGTAAAACAACACTCATAACAGCCCAAAAATAATAGGCATTTTTAGGTTGTGCCTTGTACATTTGTAATGCCACCGATTGTTGTGCTTTAAAATCTTCCAAACGAACATGGGATATAAATAGATGAGCTAATAGCTCTTCATTATT